CGGCTCGGCGCGTCCGCGTCCTCGATGTCCGGGAAGGACAGGAAGAGCTCGATGACGCTGGCGGCCGCAGACCGCGGCACGTCGCCGTCCTCCAGGGGAACAAGCGACGACATAAACGTAACAACTCGGATCGGCGCTGGGGCCCCCTGGCGGGGGGGTCCAGAGCCGATCCGAGAAGTCCGTGCGGACCTCCCAGATTTTCTGCTTATGCCGTTGTTTGTTCCCCCGGTCCTCGCCGCCCGCCCCTCTGCGGTTCAGCACCAGGTGCTCGTAAATGCGCTTAGCGGCCTGCACGTCGACGCGGAGCATCTCCGTCTCCAGGGAGCACAGCTCCAGCAGGCAGACGGAGCTGGAGACCACCCCCTCGTTCAGCAGGTTGTGCAGCGCGACGGACTTAGCGACCTTGTGCAACCGCCTCGCATCCTGGGCAGGCAGCACCAGGGCCTCGCGGCGAAGTTCGCCACGCTGCTCCATTCGCCAATCGCACTTGGTCAGCAGCACGTGCAGGGCCATCATCGCCCGGCCCTGGGCCAAGAAATAGCCCTCGCCCAGCTCATCACGGAACTTCTCCCCGGGCGCCACGAGCGTGGAGAGGTTGCCCACCGTCGCCGCCCCGTCGCTGTCCTGCTTCCCGAAGATGGGCAGCGGCTTCAGCCCCTCGCGCACGTCGAAGGCGGCCACGTCTCCCAGCAGCGTGGACAGCGACACGTCCTCCTTGAAGGTGGTCATGTCGTCCAGCGTGTGCTGCAGCTTCTCGTTCGCGCCCGCCGCTGCCAGCCCGAGCTCTTTCACGCCGTCCTTGAGCCTCCAGCTGTGCCCGCCGCCCCCACCGCCGTCGACCGGCTGGGCGCTGCGCTGATCGGGCCTGCCCGACGCCCAGCGGGCGCAGTTGGCGTCGGCCACGGCCTCGACCAGGCTGGTCGCCAGGCCTGGGTCCGCGGCCCCCTGCTCGCCACTGGGCGGGGGCGGGCCCCCGGGCGGCAGGCCCGCTGGGAAGAAGGCCTCGTGGAGCGCGGGGTACTCCTGGACCACCTGGTGGAACTGCCCCACCTCCACGTGCCACGGAACCGCCTGCGGCGACCCCGCCGCGTCCAGCCCAGACGCCACGGGGGCGAACATCAGTGTCGCCAAGAACGCCACCGGGCTGTGGGCCGCCAGGCTGTTGAGGGGCATGTAGTAGACGCGCTCGGCGTCCTGCCACGCGGCCTGTCTGCTTCCGCCGCGCGTGGGGGCGCACTCCTCTCCGGCGAAGACGGTGGCGGCGTGCTGTAGCGAGGCCGCGAACAGGTGGGCGTTGCCGAGTCGCCCGACCAGGAGCAACGAAGCCCAGGACCTCTCCGCGTGCCTGAGCTGCAGAGCCTTGAGGTCTCCCATCCTCGTTGCCAGCTCATACTTCTGCAAGTACAGCAGCATGGCTGTGGGGAGGTCGCGGTCGATGCAGAAGTGTATGAAGAATCTGTGGAACGGGCACACCACCCTCCGAGGCAAGAGCCGGTCGAGGGGCAGCGCGCCCTCTGCTGGGAGCAGGGCGCCGCCGTCAGCGTCGTCCGAGGCGCCGGCGGGCGAGGTCACCACCGGCAGGAAGTCCCCGAAGAGGCGCCCGCACTGCGCCAGGCGCCGCAGCAGCGCAGAGAAGGACTGGACGTCGCCGCGGCAGAAGAGGCCTCGCCGCCCGAGTTCCTGCAGCACAACCTCCTTCGTGTAGGAGGTGCAGTACGGGAGGCCGCGCTCCTCGAGGTGCGTCAGGTCCACGCGGCTGCGGCCGTGATCGTCCGCGCGGTTGCCCAGGCGCAGCGGCAGGTTGCGCACCCAGGAGGCCAGCCCGCGCCAGTCCTGGTGGGCAACGAGGAAGTCCAGCCAGCAGTTGCGCCACGCGCAGTCTGGGGGGCCTGCCGAGGCCGGCGGGCGCAGCCACTCCAGGGACTCCACCATCTCGGGCCAGTAGTGCGTCTTCTCCATGATGATGCGCGCCCGCGTGTCCCAGCTCCAGGTCGTCATCCAACTCAAGGTGACGTGCAGGTAGCCAAACGTGTGCCGCTTGACGTCGTCCTCACCCACGCCTAGGGCGTTGTAGAACTCAGTCGCGCCCTTGATGCCGCTATTCTGGGAAAGCTCCTCTGCCTCCAGATCGTCGTGCGGAACCTCCAGTCGGCACTGGCGACAGGTCGTCCGCTTGGCGGCCTGAGCGGTGGACCCCTGGAGCACGTCGACGTCGTCGTTCTTGTCGTCGGCGAAGTCGGCGACGGACTCCATCTCCTGGCCCTTGTCAAGGTTCGAGCCCGTGAGGAAGTTCGAGAGCCCCAGCACCGGCTGCGCGTCCAGGTCGTCGATGTCCCCGCAGGGCAGGTGGCCCCACGCCCTGCGCGCCTCGCCGGGCATCTCCAGCATGGCGGCCATCACCGGCGTCTGGTAGCCCGCCCACATGTCGTACAGCTCCAGCGGCATGCGCTGCGACATGGGCAGCTCCCGCAGGCTCGTCTGCTGCTCGAAGGCCAGGTCCTCCGACGCGGTGTCCACCCCGACGTGCCCGCCGATGGCCCCGTCCACCTGCAGGCCCACCTGCAGCATCCTGCGCCCGCAGGCCGGCATCAACATCATCATCATCATCATCATCATCATCATCATCATCATCATCATCATCAGCAGCAGCAGCAGCAGCAGCAGCAGCAGCAGCGTCATCTTCAGCAGCATCACCATCATCATCATCGTCAACAACAACAACAACAACAACAACAACAACAACAACAACAACAACAACAACAACAACAACAACAACAACAACAACAACAACACTATCACATCATCACATCACCATCCACATTAGCACATCATCAGCAGCATTAGCTTTACCAGCATCACCATCACATCATCATCATCATCATCATCATCATCATCATCATCAGCAGCAGCAGCAGCAGCATCATCATCATCATCACATCATCAGCAGCAGCAGCGTCATCATCATCATCATCATCATCATCAGCAGCAGCAGCATCATCATCATCATCATCATCATCCTGCGACCGCCGGCCGGCCACGTGCAGAAGGGCGGGCTGGACTCGCTGTGCGCGCGCTGCGGGTACTGCCCCGTCACGAGCCCAGTGGTCATGCGGTTGAACTCGGTGGTGTAGCACGGGTTCGTGTACAGCCGCTCGAGCACGTTGACGAGGGAGATGAGCGACTGCTCGCTGTCGGTCAGCCTGCCCATGTGGTGCAGGTGCCGCAGGAGCCGCCGCCGCACGAGGCGCTTGGAGGTGTGGAAGGCCAAGGCCCGGAAGAACCTGTTCACGCTCTCGCCCACGTTTCGCAGCATGTGTATGGCCACGAAGAGGAAGTCGAGCTGCTGGTTACAGACGAGCTGGTAGGCCAAACGCCCCGCCGTGACGCGGAACTCTTCAAAGACTCTGCTAGCACCCGCCGCGCTCGAGCCGTCCTGTAGCGCGAGCTCGTGGAACCAGTTCAGCGCTGAAGATACCCGGCCCGAGATCAGCGCCCCGCGGACGATGGACTCCGCGCTGTCTCCCCCCCGGAGCTTCGCCATCTCGGACACGCGGTCCTTGGCAGCGAAGTCTCCTCCTGCCTGCAACCGTGTGGCCAGTGAGACAGCTGCGTCCAGCGACGCCATGCCTGTCTTCATATCGCCGGCAGTGAGTTGGTCCGCAGCCGGCGCTTGCGGCGGGCAGGAGATCACGATGCCGCTGTCGTATGCCTTGTCATCGCCGAATGAGCGGATGAGCTGCTGCTGCAGCCCGCGCAGGGCCTGCATGTGCACCGTCAGCTGCGAGAGCTCATGCACCATGGAGGCGTACTGCGGCGGCTCCGAGGCCGCGTGTTTCGGCTGGAGGTAGGTCAGAGCGCGGCAGGCGCCCTCGCACTCCTGGATCTGCGCCACCCGCGTCTGGATCAGCTTCGTGACGAACTGCATGGAGATCTCGAGGAGGCGGGACACGAAGCTCCGGTCTGCCGGCAGCTGCGACGCGGACGGCCCGGGCTCGCGGACAGGCCCGCCCGCCGGGACGACCATCGCCACGGGCTGCGGGGAGGGGGAGAACGGCAGCAGGAGAGACGCGCACGAGTACCCGGCGTGGATGAAGTCCATGATCATTTGGCAGGCCTCCATCTCCTGGTCTGGGCGCAGGAGCCCGAGGCTCTGGCGGATCTCCTGCAGCTTGCGGAAGCGCAGGCCCAGGAACAGCGTGAGCACGGGGAGCTGCTTGGCATTCCAGCCGTTGAGGGCGCAGAGCTTGGAGGCCTTGGCGCGGCTCTCGAAGACCAGCAGGTTGGAGATGATGCGCGCGGGTGGCTGGTTCAAGATGAGGGCGTGCAGGTGGACACCCTCGCTGAGCATGTACCAAATCTGGTTCTGCGTGACGAGCGAGCGCCACGGCCGGCGGCTGCGGAAGACCACCACCTGCTGGCCGGCCCCCGCCGCCCGCGAGTCGCCCAGCGTCTCCAGCAGGCTGCCCGTCAGGTGGTCGATCTGGGCCTGAGCGGCCGTGCTGCTCCGCTGCGTGGAGGGCGGCCTGGCGATGACCGCCAGGCCCCACGGGCCCTCTGGCCGCCCGCCCTCCCCCGGCCGCTCCCAGATCTCGCAGCATACGTGCGACGAGGTGATCGACAGCGACAGGCGGCCGATCGCCACCCGCCTCCTGCCCCCGGGCCTCTCGTCTGCGCCTGCGCCCGCGTCCGAGGAGTCCGCGAGCTCGCTGCTCGAGCCGCTGCCGTCGCCCGCCCCCGAGCCCCGCAGAGGGGGCACCGCCTCCCCCAGCGTGCCCATCATCGGCGGGTTCAGCGCCTGCGTGTGCTGCCGCACGCTCGTCTGCGCCAGCCACGGGGGCAGCCGGCTCTGGAACTGGCGCTGGGCGTGCTTGTGCAGGGCCGCGCACAGGCTGTAGTGGAGGTCGTCGTCGCCCAGCCGGTTCTGCGCGGGGACGCTGAAGCCGTTGAGCGCCCCGCCGCCCGTCCCGAGCAGAGAGGCCCCGCCGCTCGCGTCCGCGCCGCCCCCGCCCTCCAGCATGGCGTTGACGTCGAGGCGCTCGGCGCGGGCGATGGACCACGGGCGGTCCACCTCGAGCCACTCCTCGGGGGGGGGGCGCCCGCGGCGGGGCGGCGCGGCCGAGGAGAAGCGTGCCGCAGGTCGGCAGCGGGGCCGGCACCGACCGACATCGACAGGCCGCGGGCCGCCCACGGGAAGGGCAGACGGCGAAGCCAGAATTATGTCGGGCGTGTCCCCATGCAGGGGGATTTTCGACGAAACATAAAAAGATACCTTCAAAAAATGCTCCAAAAAGGTCCAAAAATATTCAAAAAATAGTCCCCAGACTATTTGTGGACTATTATCTTATTATTTGTGGGGTATTTTTTATTTTTCGTCGAAAATCCCCCTGTAGGGGGACAGGCCCGACTTAAAGCCAGAAGCAGCGACACCGCAGTGACCGACCGAGCCGACCGAACGCCACCGACTGCGGCACAACCGAAGCGACCGAATGCGCAGGCACCTCCTGCTCCCCGACTTTGCAGAGGGTGTGGTTTGCAGAGGACGTGGTCTGCAAACCGCGCCCCGGGGGGAGCGGGCGAGGACTTCGGCAGGGACCGCTGCCGCGCCCCAGCAGGGGCTCGGCAAGCCTTCCGCGCAGCGTGGTGGCCCCCTCAGCCCCAACGGCGCCGGGTGCGGGGGACTCGGGTTGGCCTGAAGCGGCCGTCGGGGGAATGACGAGACCCAGCCTGAAGTTGGACGCGAGCTCCCTGCCGCAGACGGCCCGCGAAGACAAGCACATCTCAAAGCTCGCGACGAGCACGCCGAAGAGACGTCGGCAGGCCCGCGCCCCAGCAGACTCGAGCCTGCACGTCTACCCGACGGGTGTTCCTGGGCCTGGTGGACGCGCCCCGAGAAGATCGGTCCAGAGGGGGGGGCAGTGAAAGCAATTCCGCTCATAGAAGCAGGAGAAGAAGAAGAAGAAGAAGAAGACGAAGAAGAGGGGGGGGCAATGAAACCAATTCCGCCCATAGAAGGAGAAGAAGAAGAAGAAGAAGAAGAAGAAGAGAAGGCGGCAGAAACGTAAACTGTTGGCGCTCCACGCGGACCTCTTGGATCCGCGCTGCCCCACCCCCTCACTGGCGCGCGGAGCGCGCCAGGGGCGGCGCCGGAGGCGCCGCCTGGGGGTCCCAGCGCGGATCCAAGAAATCTGCGCAGAGCGCCAAAATTTATGATTATTCGTTGTTGTCTTCTTCGAGTCCACAACCGGCCCCGGACACCTCCCGGGGTCCATCTGGTGCAGTTTTTCACCTCGGATTCGTCTTTCACGGTCCCTAGGCCCGAAAATCGGCCCAAGGAGACCGAGATCGTAGAAGGCTTTCTCGAACCCAGCACCTCGGACATGCCCCCCCCTTCCTGCTGGCCAGACCCAATGCGCAGCCTCCTCGGACCCCCTGCGCGGCACAAGGGGGGAGGGGGAGGGGGGAAGGCTTCTTGGAAGGCGCTGGCCCTACCTCTGCGCGTGGCCGACTGTATTAGATGCTCATTCTGGGGTCCGTCATGCAGCCACCTTCCACTTGTTCCTCCCTCCTGCGTCGAGCGTCCGTCGACTCCAGTCGAACCTGAGACGAACCTCAGTCGAGCATGAATCGAGCCTGATATGGAACCAGACCCGAGACGAACTGGAGTCGAACCCGGTCCCTTTTGTGGGCCCCAAGGAACGCCCCTAAAACGAGCATCCAAACTGTGACCCCAGAGCCCCGACGTCGTGACTTCTTCATGACGCCACCCCCAGAGGTCCCGCCGCCCACTCCCCCGGACCGGTTTCTCATCCCAAGTCGTTTTTTGGCTAATCCGCCCCCAGAGGCCGAAAGTGGCGAAAAACTCCCGTCGTGACTGTTGTTCATGACTCGAAAGGGTCTGGGTCACGCAACGCCCAAGCCGTGGTGTGGCGCGCCCAGCCGGGAGCACCTCGGCGGGGCCGCAGCGAGCCCGAGAAGCGCCCACGAAAGCGTACCTCAGGCCCGCGGCCAGGGTGCACAGGGGCCACAGGAGGAGGAAGAGGAGGAGGAGGAGGAGGAGGAGGAGGAGGAGCAGCAGAAGGAGGAGGAAGGGGGAAGGAGGAGGAGGAGAAGGAGGAGGAGGAGAGAAGGAGGAGGAGGAGGAAGAGGAGCGAGGGGAGGGGAGGAGGAGGGGGGAGGAGGAGAGGAGGAGGAGGGGAGGAGGAGGAGAGGAGGCGGAGGAGGAGGGAAAGAGGGGGAGGAGAATGAGTGGAGGAGGAGGAGGAGGGAGGAGGAGGAGGAGGAGGCGAGGAGAAGGAGGAGGAGGAGGAGGAGGAGGGGAGGGGAGGAGGAGAGGAGGAGGAGGAGAAGGCAGGAGGAGGAAGAGGAGGAGGATGGAGGAGGAGGAGGAGGAGGAGGAGGAGAGGGAGGAGGAGGGGGAGGAGGGGAGGAGGAGGAGGAGGAGGAGGAGGAGGAGGAGGAGAGGGAGGAGAAGGAGGAGGAAGAGGAGGAGGAGGAGGGGGAGGATAATGAGATGGAGGCGGAGGAGGAGGAGGAGGAGGAGGAGGACCAGTGGTAACCCAAGAGTCATCAACGATGTTGGACTAAACCCTCCCCCCAAGCTCCCTTTTCACAGGCCCCTCCAACGGTTTATTTCCATTGAGGGAACTGCCTCGTTGGAAGACAACAGCTTGAAGATCCCGGAGCGTGCCAAAACATTGTTCTCGGGATCCAACGCCACGTATCAACCTGACTGCTGCGTCTTGACGATCCAGAATCGTGCAAGAACGCCGTTCTTGGGACTTCAACACAGCGATTCAACATAACGTTTGCGCCCGCATAATCCTGAATCCTTCCAAAACACCATTTCTGGTACGTTGATCATGGGAATCCGTGAAACTCTTGCGAAAATTGAAAACGAATGTGCGCGGCGCTGAGGCGAGAGCCACATTTTGAAAAGGAACCGCCCTCAATCCGTGAAACTCTTCAATGTTTGTTTAAACGATTGCGCGCGGCGCTAGGGCGCGATCCACATTTTGAAAACGACCCGCCCTCAATCCGTGAAACCTTTGCAAAATTTGAAAGCGGAGGTGCGCGGCGCTGAGGCGAGAACCACGTTTCGAAAACGACCCGCCCTCAATACATCAAGATCTTGCAAATGTTTGAAACGAAAGTGTGCGGCGCTAAAGAGCCACATGTTTAAAACCGCCCGCCCTCAATCCGTGAAACTCGTGCAAACATTTGAAACCAAAATGCGCGGCGCTAAGGAGAGAGCCACATTTTGAAAACCGCCCGCCCTCAATCCGTGAAAGTTTTGCAAACGTTTGGAACGAATATGCGCGGCGCCAAGGCGAGAGCCACATTTTGAAAACCGCCCGCCCTCCATATGTGAAACTGTTGTCACTTCTTAAGCTTCAGAGTCATAAATGGTGACGAATTCTCAGGCGAAAAGCCTGGCCCGCCCTAACAACTGGCCTCGAGGCGCGACAGGGAGGATTTATTTATAAGGAGAAGGAGTAGAGGAGGAGGACGAGGAGGAGCAGAAGCAGCAGCAGGAGAAGGAGGGGGAGGAGAATGAGGAGGAGGAGGAGGAGGAGAAGGAGGAGGAGGAGGAGGAGGAGGAGGTGAAGGAGAAAAAGGAGGAGGGTCCTGCGCCTGGTGGATGCGCTCGTACCATGCGTACGGGATGCAGCGCGTCACGTTGGGGTCTCCGCCGCCGAGCCCGGCTGGTCCCTCCGCCTCGGGGCCGTGGGCCTCCGCGCCCGAGGGCTCACGGCGCTCGCGCTCGAAGAAGTGGTCCCGAATGCCGTAGGCGCCGCCGTGGATGGGCGGCGAGCCCAGGGGCACAGACCCCTCGCGTTGTGAAAAAAATGACGACCGGAGGTTGTCGCAATTGCCAGCCTTTGGAGGCCCTTCCCGGGCCTCGGGACCGCCAAAAACGACTCGGGATGAAAAACCGGCCCTGGGGAAAAATCGGGACTTCTGGGGGTCGCGTCATGAAAAAAACATGACGTCGGAGATCTGGGGGGGAGGTAAGCCCACGTAGGGGGAAGCTCCTCCTCCTCCTCCTCCTCCTCCTCCTCCTCCTCCTCCTCCTCCTCCTCGTCCTCGTCCTCGTCCATCAGTCTAGTCCTCGTCCTCGTCACTCGTCTCCCCTCCCTCCTCCTCCTCCTCCTCCTCCTCCTCCTCCTCCCTCCTCCTCCTTCTCTCCTTCTCCCCTCCTCCTCCTCCTCTTCCCCTCCTTCAATCCTCCTCTCCTCCTCCTCCTCCTGTCTCATCGACTCCGCCCTACCGCTTCCTACCTACCACCTCTCTCCTACCCCCATCCCCCCCTCCTCCCTCCTCCTCCTCCCCTTCCTCTCTCCTCCACCTCACACCTCCTCCTCCCTCCTCCCTCCTCCCCCCTCCTCCTCCCTCATCCGCCTCTTTCCTATCCTCGCTCCTGCCCTCCCCTCCTCCTCGTCACCTCCTCCCCCTGCTCCCCCCCTCCCCTCCATCCCTCCCACCTCTCCCTCCTGCCCTCTCCCCCCTACCCCGAAGCTCTCCCCCAACCCCGTCCTACCTCGCCCCTCCTCCTCCTCATCCTCCTCCTGACTGCGCTCTCGTCATCCTTTCCTCCTCTTCGCGCCCTACTCCTCCTTCCTCCTCCTGCCTCCTCCTCCTCCTCCTCCCTTCCTGTCCGTCACCTCCTCCTCTCCGGCTTCCCTCCTTTCCTGCCTCCTTCTCCTACCTCCTCCTCCTTTTCTCTCCTCCTCATTCCTCCTCCCTCCTCCTCATTCTGCCTCCTCTCCTTCTGCATCATGACTATTCCTCTCCTGCTGTCTACGCCCATCCTGCCTGCCTTCCTCCCATACCTCATCTCTCCTCCTCCTCCTTCCTCCTCCTCCTCCTCCTCCTCCTCCTCCTCCTCCTCCTCCTCCTCCTCCTGCTCCTCCCCCTCCTCCACGCATGCTCAAGTCAAGTGAACCGTGCCTGGACGGCACATCGATTGCAGACGCATGCATGAGAGCATATACAACAGAAC